GTTCTTACTCAAATCATGAAACAGCAAACTCATTTTCTCTCTCAGTAGAATTCTTCTGTTAGGATGGTTTATAGGTTTTATAGATATCGAAAGTCTTGACCTGATTTGTAATGGTCCACCCAGGTGGAGTGTGCTGATGTGTTGGCTTCCATTCAGAACCTGAGAAGCCTATTTGTTTATCTTTGTTACCTTCAACTCCTCTTTTCTCTAAAGAATCCAAGGTGCCCTTGAGAGATGCTTTGTATAAAAAGCATGTCTGCTGTCCCTCTTAAACCAGAAGAAACAGGCAGTCAAGGAGAAAGACAAGTAAATGAGGAATGAAAGACTAGAGTTGAATCTTAGGTGCTAGACACTCAGCACTGCTTATGTAATTTTTGCTCCAACTGAAAAACCTTTTGCAGAGGCCACTGGCCAGTCTATGTGACATACACATGATGTGCAGAGCATACCAAGAGTTGGATTTGTAGGATTTCAGGACTGCCACTGTCTCCAGTGGCTGATAGGAATGTTTCTATAGGCATTTCATTGTACTGCAGATTTTTTGTAATGAGGAACATTCTAGAAACATCCTTCCTGTTTTCTTGGCAAAACTGTGTCCATCATCCTGCCGTGTCACTCACAATGCCTTCCCTCATGGTCACCTCAAGACTGGTTGTCACCCATTTACCCTCGAGTTTCTTCTCTGTTTCTTCTTTCTCCTCACTGCCACCATGTTGGTTGACATACTGGTATTGGAATTCCAACAAACAAAAAAATATTACAACTAAGTATCTGTTGTTTAAACCATCAGCCTATGGTATATTTTTATAGGACCCTAACCAGGTTACTACAGCTAATAGTGTACTGATTTTTTTTTTTTTTGGCAGTGTTGGGCATCAAACTCAGAGTCTCACTTATTCTGGGCAAGCACTTTGCCCCGTAGCTATACCCTGGCCATCTAAACAGGATAATACAACTACTTTAAAGGCTTTGACCTATACCGTTTTATCTGGCAACCCAAAGTCACTGCTTCATAACACAGTTACCCAGGACTGTACTTTTAGTTCCCCAAACACAAGTTTATAAATTGAAAACTCTCCTGAGTTTTTCTTAATTTTCAGATAATTCTAAAGACTCTCTAGATAGGTTCTCAAATTATGTGTTGCCAAAGAAGGAAGGAGGAACAGGTGATTTGTATTGTAAGGGATGAAAAACCCACAACTGGGTTTTGTTTAGTATTGAAAGTATTTGTGGTCCATAATTTTTATAAAATTGTAAGGAAATTGAACTTGGAAACGGGGATGGTATTATTGGTAAATACTGTTTCCATAGGCTATAGCAAAAATGGTTTATATCGGGGCTGTTTTCCCATTTCCCAAGTCTCTGAAAGGTGGAGTAAAAATGTAAACTTCTATAATTAGTTTTCTGTCAGATGATTAAACAAAGTATGCCTTGGGCTGAGTACTGATGGGAGTGGCAGTAGCTTGCTTTAAAAAATGCAATTTGCTTTTCATTTATTTTTTAAAAATAGCAGATAGACTTTAGTCATTAGGTTTTTCTGGATGATTAAAAGACCCAAAAGGGACGTTTTGTGGTATCACTGCCTGATATTTGCTTTAAATTATTTTTAATATGAGGTGAGAGTGCAGTCAAAGAAGACTTAGGTTTTCCAAGCAGAACAGTGTGTTACTGCTAATCCATTTAAATCCACTCCAGCCAATTAAAGTTGGCAGAGAGATGAGACCCATGGGCATCAGCCACTAATTAAGCAGGAGGGCACCCAGAATGCAAAGCTAATGCACCCTGCCTCTGTTACAAGATCCCAAATTACAGTGACGTTTGTATTCACGTACTGTCATAACCACGTGGAACATCCCAAACATTTAACCTTGACTATTCTTGGCAGGATTTTGAATTTCATTCAAAGCACCAGGTCATACTAATTTTATTGCATTTAGAACAGCAAGAGTAAATCTCAAAGTCCATTCAATTTCAACCACGGTGGTTTTCTCTGAAAATTTTAGGAAGCAACTACCTTGACTTTTATTTCAGTGAAATGAACTTATTGTAATTTTTATTTGGGTTTGGTTTCATCATGGATAGATTAAGCAAATCATTCACTTCTTACACTCTAAATGATATACATGAAGAAGCCATTTTTAAAACTTCAGCAAAAATTCTCAAGCATTTAATAAGGAAAATTGTTGTAAAAACTTTCCTTGTGACAGGGATTGAGAAAGATGCCCAAAGACTTTTCTAGGTAGACTGACTCAACTCTGAGAATGTGAAACTTTTCTGAGTCAAGTCAACCAATTTGGCTGTGTGTTTGAAGTTTAATGTGCTTCACAGATGAGTACAAAACATCACATGAAACCAGCCGGGCAGAGGAAATCATGTGTTCCAGAGAAAATGCTTAAGAGAACTCTCTGAGGGATTAGCATCTTAGATGTTATTGTAGTTAGGGGTTGGGAGGAAAAACAGAATCAGGACATGGAGTTTATAATATTGTTTTATGATGTCACCCAGAGTTAACACAAGAAAGTGCAGGAAATCTGTCCACAACACTAAAGATACAGAATATTTAGTCAAGGGCCTGAATCCAACATCAATGTCCCACATGAGTCCAGTGAAGACCCAGAGCTCATGACAATGCCTCCCAGGAGTCCAACTGGAGCCCACAAGGACTCACACCAGTCTCTTGTGGATCTGTGTTGGAAAGGCTCAAAGGTCAGCAGTGGAAGCTAGAAAGTCTGTGCCAGTGGGGTGAAGGAGCTGTGCTGGTGGGATGAGAGTTCTATGCTGGAGTCCAGAAGTGACACTCACAACAAAGACCAGGGCTGTCCTCAAAGGCGTCACAGCCATCCTCAGCGACATGGAGGCCCCAAGTTCCTCTGACAACAACACGGTCGGGTTACATGCCAGAAAGCCAGTGTGACGAGTTCATCCTGGAGACCAAGCAGCACATGTCTTCCCCTCCAGATCCAGGAAGCAATGCTCGATGTGAGGACCAGAGCTCCTCCAGGAGAACCAAAGGCTCAAACAGCAATACTTAGGAGAACCCACAATGCTTCAATGTCTCAAAGCATAGCTTCTCCTCCACATCTCTATTTATGCTGGCAACTTTCCTCAGGTGGGACATCTACGCTCAGCACCATGGTGATTTAATTCCTTAAGTTGACAACCAGTGTTTTTTGTTTGGTTGGTTTTTTTTTTTTTTTTTTTTTTTTTTTTTTTTTTTTTGTCTTTTTCCTTTTTGTTGGTACCTGGAATCGAACTCAAGACTGCCTGCTTTACAAGGCAGGCGCTTATGCCACTGAGCTAAATCCCCAGCCCCTGACCACCAGTTTGTAATCTATATCACATATTAGAAAATAAACAAAAAAACACACTTCATTTCATCTACTGCATCTTCTATTTGCGAATGACTGTCATGGATAATTTTCTGAAGATGCTAGTCCTTTCTGAAAATCAGATGGGGGAGGAGGGTGAAAATAAATGTTTTAGACAGTACACTACTCAATTCTACAACTAAATTTCACTCCTGCACTGAGGAAAGATATCATGTCAGGCAGCAAATTGGGACCTAATGGGTCTTTTAAGATTTTTTTCCAGGTGTCTTTGGGCAGTTTTTCCAGTTCTCAGAAGAACTATAACAATTACAGTAGTCTTGGTAGGCATGATGGCATTATCCACAGAAAAATGATCTCATGCCTCTAAATCTTATTACATGTTCTTGTACATGATGTAAGCTCATAGTGTTAAATAAAATGTCTAGTACTGTGCATGTTCACTCTACTTTTCAGCTCTTGTCCTTAGTTTTGGAGCATTAGGTGTTTGGATGATGTCTTGGTTACTTTTCTCTCATTGCTGGGACAAAATATCTGGCACCCAGGAAGGAAGGTTTTATTTAGCTCACTGTCTGTGGAGGTTTCAGTCCATAATCAGCTGGTTCCAGGCCAATGTGACGTGGCACTTGGGGCAACACTTCAAGGCAGCAGAAGACAGAAGAAGCAGCCAGAGCACAAGGACAGAGATCAAGCCTCTTCTCCTCCCTTATATTGTAAGCAGGATACCCATGTTCACCCCCAGAGTGGGTGTAGTATTCACACCACCTCTGTGCCCTCCTCTTGCAGAGGCTATTTTCAAAGTAAGGATCCTATCTTCCTGCTGAGTCTCTTGTTAAATTTCTAAACTTCTCAAGTTGGCACAGTGTTTCAACCATAAAAATTAAGGGTGAGAGATATAGAGACAAGAAGGTAGGAGAGGCAGGAAAAGAACCAGAAGCATGGATCTGTGGGCAAGGGGCCACTGTGGCTACTAAGATTTTTGCCATTTTTAGCAGACACCAGGTCCACTGTGGCTGGGAGGGCTTTGGAAGAATACCAACTCAGAGCACAGAGAGAAAGTGATAAGACAAGGAGGAGAGTAGAGATGAAGACGGCACCTTACCATGTGGGGAGGATCTGTGAGATCACAGTCAAGAAAAACTTAGTCACTAAGTAAGGATAGTGGGTTCTCTAGTCAGAATCTAAATCTGGACTTGTCCAGTTCCTGCCTGGGAAGATGTTATGGTTTGGATCTAAAGTGTCTTTCCAAAGCCTTATATGTTGTGAGGTGGGGTTTTGGGGAGGTCAGTGGATGATGTTAAACTCATGACTGAATGTCTGTCGATGTCCGCTCCCGGCCGGCAGGAAAGACACACGACAAGGTCTGGCGGTGGTCAGGCTTTTCTTTATTCTCTCCTTATACAGTCTGCCCCGAAGCCTCTACCGGTCCGCTCTCCGCGGCTCCTTCCGTGCTTCAGTCTGCCCCGAAGCCTCTACCGGTCCGCTCCCCGCGGCTCCTTTTGTGCTTCAGTCTCTCTCTCTCTCGGGGGTGGAGGCACTGGCTATATATAGGATTAATAGCTAGGCAGACTACCCTGTGAGGCGGGAACTTAGTGGGGTGATAAGAAACAGGTGCCACACAGGCGGGCTCGATGAGAGGGGTAATCTAGCCCAGGCTTTTGTACTTTCCCACAGGCCTCGCAATCACCGCGTCTGATGACTTGACAGTGCCACGGCTCCCAACAAATGTCTAATGAGACAATCACAGATGAATGTACCATTAAGAGATGTCTACTAGGAGGAGGTGAGTTACTAAGAGCATACCTTGGGAGGGTCTCTCTGGCTCTGGCTCTGTTTCTGTCCCTCTTCTCCTCCCACTCCTCCCCTTCCCTTCCTCCCCTCCCCCTCCCTCATCCGTCTCTTCTCTCTCCTTCCTGGATGCCCTGTGTTGGGCACCTTTCTTCCGCATGCCCTTGTGCCATGTCATTCCTGCCTTGAGGCCAGCGGCCCATAGCCTGAATCCTGTCCTTGTGAGCCAAAATAGATGTCACTTCCTAAAGTCATGGGTGTCGTTCATTTTTTTACAGTGATGGCAAAGTGACTCATACATGGAATCAGGGCTCATTTGTTTAATTCTCTACACTTAAGTAACCTCACTCTCCAACAGGGATAGAGATGACTGCTTATCCAATGGATAGCGTGTCTTTTCATACAAGGTGGAAGCATTCTGTAGAGTGATGGTTTTGGAGTTCAGAGGCTTCCCGTCTGGGTGGGGTTTCTTCCAGGCTCTGGGGCCAAACTTTCTGTGCTGGGCAATGAATCTGATATGGCGGTAGTAACTGTGGATAGCATGAGGATCTTTGTATGTGTTGTCCGTAAGACTGGTAGCATGGTAAGTCTCAATTTGTAATATGTTTGATTTGTTACTAGAAAAATTTTTGAAGGATCACAAGGAAATTAAGAATGAAAGATGATGGCATTTAGAGAGGTCTCTATTGATTTATTATCAAAATTCTATTTAAAGAAACAAAACTTGTGATCCCAGGACTACATGATGGAGGGATGCTAGCATGTTCAAGAGTAAGGAAGTGGTGGGGATGGTAATACAGACAACAGCTAAAGATGCTATCTGTTTAACCATAAAAGTACCACTATTATTCATTCTAGCAGCAGCATTAGGAATGCAAATATGTTCCACCAATTTATGAAATGCTGTTTAAGTGCCTACTTTGGGCTTAGAGCCACCTCATTGTCCAGATTTCCCCTTCTTATAAGAATGCCAGTCCTATGAGATCAAAGAATCCCTAGAGGTCTCATTTTAACTGGAATGCCTCTAGAATGAACCTGTCCCCAACCACATCACACTGTGAGGAAATGGGGCACAGACTCCAACATAGGAATTTTGATGTGCACAGCTCAACCCATGAGCATAACCAATAAAGAAAGTCTTTATACTGACATAAGTCTAGAAATTAGTCAGAAAATCAGAAGTGTGAAATATTGTAAGTAAACTTCAGGCACTATGAGAGCAGTTCATGATAAAGAGATAGTAAAGCAAAAGGATCAGTGCAAACCAAACATCGTGGTGCATCCATATAATCACAGCATCCTGGGAGGCTGAGGGAAAAGATTAACAAAGTAGAGCTCAGCCTGGACAACTTAGCATTTTAGCAAGATTCTGTCTCAAACTGTAAAAACAAAAGAGTAAATAAAAAGAATTGAGGATAACACTCAGTGTGATGGCACTAGATATGATTCTTGATCTACTCTTTATTGCTCTCACAATCCCACACACACACACACACACACACACACACACACACCACAAAACACAAATCCCAGTAGCAATGTATCATTTGGGGTCATTACTCATAAAAATACAGACATAGTAATGCGCTTTCAGAACTAAAGATTGGAACCAGCATTGGCATTGAGTTAAAAATACTTTGGGATCTAATTATAAAATGTATATCACAGCATTTATTTTAGCAGAGTTTGTATATCACCTTTGAAATTCTCCCTACCATCTCATTCCCTGAACTTTAATTTTTAGTGAGAACTAAAGGCAAAAATTAAATCAGTCAAGCAATCATTTAAACTACAAAAAACTTTCCATGATGTCTTCGGCATTTTTCTCATCTCTGAGATATAATCTCAGACACTTTAAAAGAGCAGAGGTTTTTCAATTTAAAAGATCAGAGGTTTCAGTCCATGTTTGGAGGTCTCCAGGCAGAAACTGCATAGCAGGAGGGCTTGGAGCTTGGAGCAAAGCTGCTCACATCATGGTGGGCAGGAAGCAGAGCATGATGGGAGGAGACAATAAGGGAGGTCATGGATCCAGTGATCTGCCTCAAACCAGGTGCCAACACCTAGGAACTCATCAGTGGACTAATTCAAACACAGTCCTTAACTTAATCACATCTGTGAAATTCCTCTGGCCATGTGAATTCACGCATTCATAAGATCTACAGACTACGATGGGAACATCCTGTCCCCTACATCCAGTAAGATAAAGGCTGTGTGTTAGGTCAGAGTCATGCTCAAATACAATAGAGGGTGAAAAGCATTTTCATTGGGAAAATCTACTCTTTATTGCTCTCACAATCCCAGCAATGCTATTGATTTCCTTTTCTAGTGGGGACCATTTAATAACTCCCCTGAGCAAAGTGCCTGGATGTGGAAGGGTAGAATCACTGATCTCTCAGGCTCTAAAATCCCTGACGGAGGGGCTCCTTGGCATTCTGGCATAAGGGGGTGGGAAAAGATAATTTCTTCTATAAGCCAGAGGATAAGTGATAATGAAATTCTAGATAGAAACTGTGAGCATGAGATGTTTGATCATTTATCTATAATTTTGCATCAGCTTCACCAGAAAACATCTTTGTGTCTCAGTTTAAAAGTTTATTAAAGTGCAATAATTAAAAATGCAGACCTAGAGAGAAAATTAAAATGGTGGAAAGATATAGTGATACATAGGTCATCTAATAAAGAGATTTAGGGACAATGAGAGGAAAAGAGTCTTAATGTTGAAGGTAGCAAATAAGGAAAATCCATAAGTAAACCCTGGGATGTATTATTTGTATCACTGGTGATAATGGGCATCTTTGAGCATTCAGACAGAAATAACAAACACATTGGATTTTCTTTTTACTTCCATTGCTATCCTTTGGCTGTAGGTTCAGACTTACTTTTTTTAAAAAATTTTTTTTTTATTTTAAATACATTAAGACAAAAGAGGACATAACAAAGCAGATCAGACAATGCAAGTAACAGCATTTTACCACAAGACAACACATAATTATCAGTAACTACCATGGTGTCTCTTTCTTTGAAATAGTTGAGCATAGCTTCATACACAATAGTATCAAGCACAATGAAACAATATAAAACCATTCAAGAGAATGAAAGTGTTACAGGGCTTTCAAAACCAAATAGCAGAGAATTAACAGTGGCTACTATATTATCTCATTTTCCACAGAAAATTTGTTTATACTATCACACATAATAATATCCAACAAGATATAACAGGATAGAACCAAAGGCAACAAAAAAAAGCATAGTAGGACTTCAGAGTAAGATGATGCTAAATCAGCTCTGGCTATTGTAATGTCTTCTTTTCTTTAAAATAGCTGTTTATACAATCACAGATAATAAAATCAAACAAACTAGGATAAAACCATTCCAACTAGTGAATGCAGACATTATAAGGGTTCAGAGCAATGTAATGGGGAATCATGATTACTGTAAACTCTTACGTACTCTTACCATTTCTTACACTAGGGTGACTATTCTGTATTTATACATGTGAGTTTGATTTATTTCGCTAATGAGTATGGTGTCAAGGTTCAGACTTATTGATACATTCATTTTAACAGGAAATATCTAGCAACTTTCAGGTGGTCTTTGTATGAGTCCAATGGAGACATTTACAGAGCCAGCTATATGCAGTGCAATGTCAAAGTAAGGCCAAGTATGAAATTTAAATTGCCTGTGGATCTTCTTGTTTCCAAGGTAATATACTAGAGCAATTTTCCTCATTAAGACTTAAATGGAAAGGTAATGCAGTGACTTACTGCTTTCATGTTTATTTCTGCAAGGAGTAAAACATTAAGGCTTGTTATTCAAACCTTGATGGAACTTTCAATCAGGTGATACAGGCACTTGACTTTAACCAAAAGGAGATTCATAAAAATCATTCCAAAATTTTCTTTTCTGATTACACCAACATAAAAAGAAAGCTGTCATTGGTTTTCCTGCAGGTTAATATTTATAGATTGAACAAAACCTTTAATCATAAATAGAAAACATGTGGCCTATCTAGGGGATAATTAAACATAAAAATAGTACATTAAGAAACTTTTCAGGTGAGAGAATCCAACTCCAGCCTCCTGGAGAAAGAAAAAAGAAGCAATTGATTCCCAAGATTAGGAGAATCATGGACATATGCAGGAAACCGAGGATGGCCTATGAAAAGTTTGTTTTTAAAGGAGCCATGTGGACGCCCTATGTTATCATCTTTGTTGTTTATGTACAGTGCAGACTCTGTGTTCCTGAATACTCTGCAGTTATGTCCCCCAAAATAATCAACACTTCCAACCTAACCACCCACCCATTCCTTGGTGGGAATCGCTTCACTGATCATTAACCAGAGATACTGTAATGCAGTCTGTCACCCTTGGAATGCTCACATGGTGAGTATGTGGCTAGCTATGTTAATGGAACTTCATTACTGGAAAGAAAAAAATGAAAAGATTAAAATGGCATGGATCTAGAGCAATGAAATGCTTAACATTCCATCAGTGCAAAAGCCACAATGGAAACTAAATTGGATCTGTCAGAGTGACGCGCACATAGTAAGAGCTGCTGCTTGCATTTAACTATTTTGCCTTGCATGCATTAGGAAAACATTTGTTTAATAAGGATTAAGTTGACATTTGTTTAATAAGAATTAATTTGCCCTGTGCGATAAGTTCCCCACTCTTTTCACATTCAAACTGTTTGCTTATAATTAAGCTAAAAATAAGTAAAACCTTTCCAGACATTTGAAACACTGTTTTAAGACACACAGCACATTGTTCAGGCCCATGTATTTGAAGCATCTTTAGAATTTAAGACTATTCTCATTTAATGTTCTATAACACTTTAGACATTCCTACATTTATTTAGCTGTGACTCTAAATTTGGGAGATGGCAGTAGCTGTTACTAGTTGTATTTTTAAATCATACAATTTGGTACACATTTTCTGGACAGACCCTTCCCTGTGTACCATTCCATGGGTAAATGATAAATCTGTAGTTGAATGT